TATATATATATATATATATATATATATATATATATATATATATATATATATATAATGTAGCCCTTGGGAGAGATGATGAGAAGTTTCTTCACGGTCAGCTAACATTAGCATTACATTATGTTAGCTTGTTAGCAATGAGTTTCTTTCCCATGGCAGCAGCAGCAGCAGCTGTGTGAATCCATGTGGAAGGTACATTCGGATGAAATGGGTGAGTTATTTGATAAATGAGTGGCGGTGCCCCCCTCTCCCCCATGTGACGACACAGACGTGAATCAAACAGGCTGTTAGCGTTAGCTTCAGTTAATCCCGGAGCTAGTGGCTAGCACAGCAACAAGCTAGCCCGTCAGAACTTACCCTGCTGGTCCTTTTCTCGCTTGCTCTCCATCCTGGATAACTTTTTTTTTTTTTTTTTTTTTAAGAAGATAAAAAGTGAGCAGGTGTAAAAAGCAGCGCAGGGGTTATGGAGGAGGTTGTTGAATTATATTCAGTCCAGTGGTTCGGTGAGGACACGCTCATTGTAGCGCAGTGCTGTAATAATGAGGCGCAGGTGGATCAGAGGCGGACATCAGGTCCGCTGCGGCCCGGCGGGGGGAGCAGGGAGGCGGCGTCCATCCCACAGGGCGCCCCGGGGAGGAGAGTGTGGGTCACAGCTGGACTGCAGGAGCCACAGGTTCTTTGTTTTAATCACACGTTCACTTCCTGTGGGAGCTCTGGCGCTGGAAAGAAGCGAAAACAAGCACGATGCATACTTTATGTTTTTTCAAAATCTTTCATCTGAGTTGCAGGGGCGTCAACAAGTGAGGTGGAGGGGGGGGGGGGGGCGATGCTGAAATGTAGCTGATTTTTTTTTATACTTTTTTTTAAATAAATTTTTTAATAACTCTTTATTAAAGCAAGTATACAACAAACAAATGAATGGAGTTTCCTAAGGGTCTTTTTGTTGGTAGAGTCTGTTATTAACTTCACATATAGTTCCATATCCTTAATAAAATGAAGAAAACATGGCGTTTTGTTAGTAAATTTATATTTATGAAGGAAAAATTTGGCCAATAGAGTTAGCAAGTTTATTATATAAAAAAAAACAAAAAACATTTAGCATCCTTTCTGGGTAATCTAGGAAAAACAAAATAAAACATTTTCCCAACGTAAGGAAAAAAATCCCTTAAAATGTGGTTATTAATAAACCTGCTAAACTCCTTCCAAAACCTGTGTGTGAAAGGGCAGTGCCAAAAAAGATGTCACAGTTTCTGGAAGGTCACCACAAAAACTGCAATCAATATTTATGTCTCTTTTAAATTTTACCATATAATGTTTAGCGGGGTAAATTTTATGAAGAATTTTAAATGACACTTCCTTCACCTTATTTACAATTAAATATTCATGGGGAGTCATCCAGACTGTCTTCCAGTTGATATCTGGGCTCCAACAGCTCCAATAAGATGTTATATATGGATGAGAAACAATGCCTTCTTGGAGCAACCTGCGTATTCTCTTTTTGTTGTTACCACGCTGCTGGGAAAGCAGGTTTTCCACTGATGACTCAGCTGGACCAGGGACAGGAACTGGAGTAGACAGAGAACCGTTAGTGTTTTTAAACAACATTAAGGTGCCTGAGGGTATAGCGCTAACCACCATTGAGAATTCTTGGAGACTAACTGGGAAATTATATAATGAGCAGAATTCACTGTAGGTGAGTAGTCGTCCGTCCTTATTAACCAGCTGAGCCACCATGGATCCCATTTTGATCCCAAGTCTCAAGGAAGAGCGACCTGTTTTTAAATTGTAGTGAGTCACGTGAGGTACGTGTCACTTGTTGTATGACAAATATATGAATTATATATGCATACAATATTCACGAGTTCTTCATTTTTCTGACTGTGTAATGTCGTGCATTGAATTTAAAGGAATGCGAACGAGAGACGTTATTACCTTTGACCCATCAAATGAATGGAATCATTTATTTTCAAAATCAAAGTTTAACATCAAACATTTACATTAATTTGGCAAAATATGAAAATAATAACAGACAGTTTCACAGAAAATGAACTTCAAATCACTCGGCGGTGATTTGAGGACTTTGCTTCAGACATTTCTAAAAATATCTGTACTGATTTATGAGAGAGAAGAGTTTAAGATTAAATTGAGATTTATCTTACAGAGGAAATATGTGAGGGAATTTAATCTGTTTGACCAGAAGTTGCACGCTCCGTCCGATCTCAGCTTCTCACGGTACACTTGGTCAAAATAGAACCATCTACCTGTTGATGATGAATCAGCCTTGGAGTAGTTCCTTTCTGACTCGTTTCAGCGTCTCCGTCGAGAGCTACCAAACCTTCAGAGAGTCGTGCGTGGTTAGCTCAAAACAGAATTATAATCCCCAAAAAACCTCTGGATTCTTCATTGCTCTGAAGCTTTCGGAACCGACTGCACTCTCAATCTTGGAACTCTCACGTTCTCCAGAACTCTCAATCTAACATGAACTGGGGAGTTGCCACATTTTATTTGGGTCGACTTCCTGTTCAATTTAGAGCTTTCTGATTCGTGGAAGGACCAGAAAGAGGAGTGGTTTTGACGTAAGGTGTTTATCAACAGTCGAGGTCAGAGAATGAAACTTGTTTAACATACAGAAAAGATTATTGCAGAAGCAGCAGACTTTTTGGAGTCTACTCTTGGTAATCTTCTGAAAAAGTTTAAACATGACATTTCTTCTTCAGTAAACATTTAGCTGACCGAAGCCTCAACTTTCACACACTTACGACTTGCTCATTTCAGACAGAAAATCAAGGAATGCTTATTCAGGTGATTTCTTCTTGGAATGAGGAATAAAAATCATTACTTACTGTTTATGTAAAATAAAAATGAGTAGTTCTTTTCAACCTGTAAGAATTGAGTGAAACTAACACAATTTGATTATCAAAACATTTGTAAGACAGTAATGATTATAAAGAATTGTCTTTTCTGCTTGATTAATTCAAGAAAGAAAGTCATCAGATGGCCCAGACTAATTCAGATCAATGAAACTAACAGTCTCTGTCCATCTGGTAGATTTGAGGTCATCTGGTTCACTACAAAATAAAATATCTCTGTTGTTCCAGATGAGGTATTTGTGTGATGAGAAGTCGTGTTTATAAATGAGGGTCCAAGCTAAAAGTACCTGCTTATGGAAGGATGAAAGTTTTACGGGAAGTTTCTCAACATTGTAATTACAACTTAAAATTAAGTTAAAGCCGCCAAAGTGCAAGAAAACATGATATGGTATAAAGTTCCAGATAGAAGTCAGATTCTTAAGAAAGTGTTTAGCCCAATTAATTTTAAATGTGTTATTTAGGGTAGAGAAATCCAGAAAATTAAGCCCACCTGATTTGTAGTTATTCATAACAACAGTTTTTCTAATATATTGTGTACGGTTTTTCCATATAAAATTAAAAAGCATACGGTCAATGTCTTTACTAATTTCCTTATCTAAATGTAAGGAGAGAGCAGCATATGTCAATCAGGATAATCCTTCAGCTTTAGTGAGCAGCACTCTACCTTGTAGAGATAAGTCCCTCTGCAGCCACTGGTTTAGTTTAGTTTTGGTTTTCTGTATAACTGGTGTAAAATTGGAGGAGCACATTAACTTTTGGTCTTTAGAGATTAAAAGTCCTAAATAAGTGACTGTTGCTGTTGGAGTATAAGGTTTCAACAGCTTTACAAAAAGAAATGTGGCTGAAATGGAAGAACAAGCCAGAAGAAAGCAGAAAGATCAAATATTTGCTGAATTATGTTTAAATAAGCAAAAAAGTTTGGAAATTAGATAAAAAAGCTGAAATTACCAAAAAATAAATTGCTGTAAATTAGCTGAATAGGCAGAAAGAAGCTTAAACTATCAGAAGGAAGTGGAAGGAGCAGAAATGAGCTAAAAAATATGGAATTAGCTGAAAAGCTAAATTTAGCACAAAACAGCTAAATAGTAGCTGAAATAGCAGAAAAAGCTGAAACTAGCAGAAATATGTTAAAATGAGTATAACAAGCTGAAATTAGCAGAAAGAAGTTAATTAGACTGAAAGTAGAAATTACCACAAAAAAATGTGCTTTATCTAAAAACAGCGGAAATTAGCTAAACAATGCTAAAGTTAGCTGAAAATGTAGAACAAGCTTAAGTTAGCAAAAGTAAGTAAAGAGAACACAGTTTTGCTCAGTTAGGCTGAAATAAGCCGAATGAGCACAAAAAAGTGAAAATGATCTGAAAAAAGCTGAAATTAGCAAAACCCAGCTGAAAAGTAGCTATAAAGCAGAAAAAAGCTTAAATTAGCAGAAGGAAGTGGAGAGAGCACATTTTTGCTGAACTAGGCTGAAAAACATTTAAATGTGTGCAAAAAATGTGCAATTAGCTGAAAAGGCTAAAATTAGCATAAAACAGCTAAATAGTAGCTGAAATAGCAGAAAATGCTGAAACTTGCAGAAATAAGCTGAAAGGAGCATAACAAGCTGAAATTGTCAGAAATAAATTAGAAGAAGCACAGAAATGTTGTATTTAGCCAAAATAATCTGAAAGGAGCTCAAAACAGCTTAAATAAGCTGAACAAAATGTGAAAAGAGCAGTAAAAGGTTGTAAGCAGATCTAAAGATCTGAAGGATGTAAAATGAACTCAATTCATTTCCATGAGAAAAAAAACAATGACAGAAAAGGCTAAATATTTCAAAAAGCTAAAGTTGTACCAGTACCAAAAGTCACAGCACCTTTCTCCTGAACGAGCTGAACGTTTTGATGATTTGTTGAAATAGCAGAAAACTTGTGGAACGAGAAAGATGCTGAAAAATGTACGGGGGGAAAATGGATCACAACAGTGTGAAGGCTTCATAAACATTCACACATACACTTAATTCCTAGACTGTCCTTGTTATATAATTATCATTATTAATTATAGATGAACAGATGGCTTTATGTAAGTGTCATGCACTTAGTTCCATCATGTTTGTTACCAGCAGGTTCCAGGTCCTCTTTATTTATTTATTTCTCTGTGTCCTCATTGGCTGTGTGCTCTCCTGTGGACACACCACCTGGTTTCTGAAGGAGAAGCAGATCATTTTGCTTTGACTCCATTCTGACTGGACACCAATAGTATTTTTTACTTATTTTTATCTTTTTTATTAACTGCTCACTGTCATGGCTTGCATCTCCCGAATGGACAACAAGCTTTTTTAGGTATTTGTGGTCATTTCAACTAAACCTTCGTGGAGACATCGACTCCACAAACCCCATAAATGCCTTTCACTGAGGAAAGGCTTTGGACATTCATTGTTCTGAATGTGTACAAGCAACAAATTACTTGATAAAGATGGGAAATAAGCAAACTATATTCACCGACGAGCAACTTGATGCTTACCAGGTAAGCTGGCACGTTGTTGAAGGACTGTAAGTAAAATAACATGAAAACTCATTCCTGTTCGTTTAGAGCAACAGCGACTGTTCAACTAGATATAAAGTATTCAGAGAAATTATCTTGAAATTAAAAGTGAGGAAAAGTTTGGTGCTTCATTAATAATGTCAACGTTTGAAGGGCTTCAGTTTTTTTATTTCACATAAATATAATTACATTTAATCACATGACTGTTTGTATTAAAACTTTTATTTGTTTCATTAATGGTAAACAGAATCCTGATCAGTTTCCTTACAAACTTTGTTCAGTTTGACTCGTCTTGTTGAGCATTCATCTCAAAATGTGAGGGATCTCCTTTGAGCAGTGATCTGAAATATCTCCTTTATTATCCCTTTATCAATAATCAGCGTTGTTTTGTCCCTCTTATGTTTTATAGTGTGAGCAGCTGGGATTCAATAATTAATGTTAAGTCAGTCACATACGGTGAAACTCTACTCTCAGGACTCAGTTTAGTTCTCAAGAGCCTCTCTGGTTACTGTGATGTCTCTTTAAAAAATGGTTCTTAGTTTTTCTGTTTGTTTCGTAGCTGCTTTTTTCTCTCTTTTAGACCTTAATGTGAGCGTTGACGATGGATTCAACCCCACAAACACCACTTCAATTACTCATACACATTTATCAGAGCTCAACCACCATCAGGTCGCCTGCGCAGACCAGGACTTCCTTTGTTCGCCCAGTTTCTAAAGCGTAACAGGTGATGGTGTGCTGCGAGCACGGCTCAGACAGCTGCACATAGAGAAATAAAGTGAGGTGCCTCCTGTGGGGGCTGCTGGATGACACGTGCCAGATACATGCATGTCAGACAACAAGCGGATCATGTTGCTGCGTGTACTAGCACACGCATCATGGTTGTAGGGGAAATACAACACCTCCATGGGCTTTTTAAAATAAAGGACCTGCAATGCTTGTTAAAGGGTAGTTTGAACATCTTTGATGTTCTGTTAAATGCTTATCAGTGATATCAGCCATAGGGCACAGAGATTAGAGACAAGGCAGACGTCTTCGTCCAGTTTGAGCTAAATGTCAGCAACTGAGGGACCCTTTCTTAATTGTTGTCCATGCTTATTAAACAACTTCTCAAAAATGACAAAACGCTGTGAACGAACGCTACATTTTAATCCTCCACACGTTTGCTTGACACTGTTTGCTTAGTTTGTTGCTATTCTCTCAACCAAACGTTGTCCATGCAAATGTGTGGTTTCAGCATTGAGACATGTAAACGTTGATAGTGCGATTACGTGCGCTGCTCAGGTGGACTGGTCGACAGACTCGCAGCCTCCGCATCACCCAGATTCCTGGAGTAACACAGATGTCCGTTGAGAAACGAACAGCGTCGTGCATAAGTGTGGAGGTTTCACGATTAGCTAATGTCATATATTTCACATATTTGTTAGAAATAGTTGGTTTGTGTTGAACAAAAATCTAAACAACAGGCCCTCATTGGGCTAAGCATTAGTCTAGTCTGTTTCTCCACGCCAATGCAATCAGAAATGACCAGACTATCCCTTTAACTCAACTCACCAGTGGATTATTTAGAAAACCTGATGAACATCCATCCATCCATCATCTTTACCCGCTTCTTCCTTTCTGGGTCAGAGGGGTCACTGGTGTCCATATCCACCAGTCACTGTGCGAGAGACAGGGGGACAGGTCTCCAGTCCATCACAGGGACACATAGAGACAAATGAGACAAACAACCATTCACTCTCTCACTCACAGTGTTATTACACCTCAAACACTTTGTTGTAAAAGTCCATCCTCTCTGTATCTTAACAGTTTCCCTTATTTGTTCTTTGATTTGCTGTTTTCTCTCGTTGCAGGATTGCACATTCTTCACTCGCAAAGAAATTTTGCGGTAAGATATTTATTAGCTGCATCTTTTTCTTATGGGTGCTAGTTGTAAACCAAACAGTTTCACCTCTTGTTTTGCCTACTCAGCAAGTAAATGTAAGATAACTAATGTGTACCAGAACGTTCTACACAGTCGGCCTTTTGTCTTGTTTGGTGCAGTGTAAGTATGATGCACTTTATCAGGCTATGAATGTGGCATGTTACAAGCTTTTTTTGCAGTGCAGTAATCTGAAACAAACAAACAAACAAACAAAAACATATCAGCTGATTTAAGTTTCTGCACTGTAGATAAGGGGTTCTCAAACTTTTTGGGTTCAGGAACCCCTTACAGGGGAGAAAAAGTTTCAGGGACCCCCTCATAACCATCATGTTGATTAAATTATTTTCTTCAATTTTTCTTTTTAATGCAATGGAAATATTTGTGTAATATAAATACTTAAGACCTGTTCTTTATTAGTGTTAATACAATTTTTTGACTTTTAAAGATGGGGTATTTTTCATTCAAGACACACTTAATTAACAAAATTTTTAATTTTAACTTACAAAAATGACAGTTTTGAGAAAATTATCATGATCAAAAACCACTTTAAAACTTTACCTATTCACATAATGAACATAATAACTATATCGTCACTTCTTCAGATTATTACAGAAAACCCTTTACATAAAACTGAACAGGCTCAAGACAGCAGTACATGTAGTCATACCAAGTAACAGGACTTAATCTGTAAACCGATCGATACTGGAATGTAAATAGAGAGTGGTCCGGTGCTGTGGTGAGTGGGGTCTGGGGGTCCCCCCCCCCCCATAAAATTGAATAACGTAGATGTGATTTTCTGCATTTTGGTATACTTTAACAGTTGTTAAACATCTAAGTGCTTGTAAAAAAAATTAAAAAATTAACTTTTTTTTTTTTTTTTGCGGACCCCCAAGTGCCGACTCGCGGACCCCCTGGGGTCTGGGGATCCCAGTTTGAGAACCACTTCAATAGATCTCCAACGTCCTCTATTGCTTTAAATTGTAGCTGAAATAAGTGAAATCTAATGTCATGCATATTTGAAAGCTGTTTTAGCACAATAAGTTAATTATAACAGACACATAATTAGAAGACTTTTGCTTCTGAAATAAAAAACTGAATTCATATTGTGACAAAGCAAATAGATTTTTTCTTTAAACGTATGACACTATTTATTAACTCGTAATTTTCACCAATAAAGTAAAACGTTAAAACTTACAAATGTTTCAGCCAGGGAGTCTCAACACAGTGAATGGCATCATATTTCGTAAACAAATACAAAATGCAAATAAAACCAAAAATGCAAAGTAAATTGACTAAATATAGATGTTATAACAACGTGAATGGCATTCTGCAGCCAGTTATTGTTTAGTGGCTATCACATTGTTTAAAAAAACTTTGAAAGCAACCTTTTAGACAAAGTGGGACTCTGTCAATGGGTTATGAACAATTGATATCTTACCTGTCATAGGTAGCTCTTTGAATGACCCTCAGTTTGGAGAAATTGAGTTTAATTCTGACGAGCTAACTGCTACGTTCATGTTCTGATATCAGTTACCCGTTGTTCTAGATGGTGAAAGGTGAAGTGCTTTTAAATTAAATATAAATCAGGGTTTCCTGCACTCCATGACCTTATTAAAACACAACCTCCTGTTCACACCTTCCACTGTTACACCATAGTAATGTAACAGCATGCTGTAAGCTGTCTGATCTGATATTAAGAGGAGATCATAACATTTGAGTGCCTTTTGCACTTTCAAGTTTATTTAATGTAATTAAACTTGGACTGAAGCATCTCCCTATGAGTTTGTCCTATAAGAACCTAAAGAGGTCCATGTCTGCTCTGAATAAATTAGAGAAAACAAAAGAAGACAAAAAAAACCCAGTTTTAAACATTTCCATAGCCTGGATGTGGTCCATAGGCAAATGCAATGTTGAATACCAGACAGCCAGAGGCCTTTCCACTGTTGTCATATTCAGTGCTGAGGCAACATGCAGCCATTTGCATGTTTTCCTTTATAAAAATGTTCCATCAAGATGACACGATTAGGAGGCATGGCACACGTTTTCAGTGTTTATAGCTAAATATTGTTTACACCTTTTTTACAATGGCATTAAGTTGTAAGGTGCAAAATAAATTGTTCAAATCTGTTTTCATGTTTTTTTTAGATTGCACGGCAGGTACCATGAGCTGGCTCCACATCTCGTACCGATGGACTACACAAACGAACCTGACTGTAAACTACCTTTAGCGTTGATAGTCGACATGCCGGAATTAAAGGTAAAAACAAAAGGTGACCATCCTTTAAAATGGGGCTTTCAATAAATACAGTTATAACTTCAAAAACAGTCTATCGCAAGATCTTTGTCCTTCCATCCACACTCTGAATTAAGTTCTGGTTTTCTTTCTTTTGGTTTTTATTTTATTTTGAGTCATCTAGATGTGATGCCTGCTGTACCTTTGAATGTTGACCAACATCTTGGCAATAATGGACCTTTTAATGGTCATCATAACTGATTGGATTATATGACAGCAGCAGTATATTGCACTATTACTATGATTAAAAAAAAATTCTTAGCATTTCAGATGTACATAAATTTAAATTAAAGATGTACACTATACGATCTGTGCTGGCAAAAACCTCAAATGGCTCAACCCTTTCCAAAGAAGTTATTAGGGGTTATCACTGATTAGTATAGAAAACAAATTTTACATTTACCTTTGCAGACCCCTGGAGATAGAATACATGAAGTGATCTTTATGCTTTTACAGCAACTCACCTTTAGGCCTCTTAAATTCAAATCTGGGTCAAAGAGCTCATGGAAAGTTATTAAAAGTGGCATTGCTTTTTTTTCCTAATTATCTGACATAAAACCTCAAGAGGAAACAATGACATTGTTCACAAGTACATGATTTAATGTTTCTGATGATGCTTTACTGGATCTAAATTTATCACATGTTTTGTCAAGTCAGGCAATTAACCCAGATAGTAAATTATGGTTGTTTAATAGACAATTTAGCAAATAATTATTAATTAATTAATTTTATGACGTAAAAAACAAATCCCAGAAAGAACGTTAAAAAAGCTCAAAAGAAACCAGCTGTTACGCCTTACCAGAAGTCCTGGGTTCAAATCCCGGACGAGCCCCCAATATTTGTTATCCTCTAAGGTTGGCCAGAACATAGCATGAAGGTGATATATCTTCTGTACAAGTCAAACAAACTAAAATAAGTTGATTTATTATCTTTTATAAAATAAAGTGATATAATCACAGATTGTTATTTACAAGAGGAAGTTTTACCAAAGGGACCAGATCAAAATAACAAACTAAACCCATACTGTCTCACTGCAATATACTTACTATACTTTAGTAAATAAATTAGAAAAACTTAATTTTCTACAATAAATAAACAAAGACAATGTCTCACCTTCCTAAACTAACAAAACATTTTTACAAATAAAATTGCCTATAAGCTGGATGATGGGGAATGAATGGGCTTCACCACTTGCAGCTCATCTTTATGCCACACTGTCTCGTCAGGCATCCAGTCTGCATCCAGCTTTTTGATTTAGGCAGGTTACCTGGACACCAAATCACACACACTGGACACTCACACGCACCTTATGACAGCATAATAAATTAATGTATATTTTATTACTAAACTAACGTTTCTCATCAGGATATTGTTGCACCTTTGAACAAACAGGTCTTTCACGTTGTAACTTTTTCTCTCCCAGTTCCTTTATGAAGTTTTTACGTGGAGCATTTTCTCCGCATGCATGGGATGAAAACAAACCAAAAAAGTTCCCCTGCTTTCGTACATGACTACAGACTCCTCACCAGTTCTCACTAACTGCCTCACACACTGACAGATGACGTCACTCGCTCACCTTTAAAATTATAGTAATGACGCCCATCAGAACACAATTCAACAAAATAACATTGAACATGAGCAAAACATTTCTAGAATGCAGCAATATAATTAGATTCATACAGCTTTATGTAATAAAGGTTGGAGTAATATTATTGCTGTTTTGTGTACAGGAAAATCCGTTCCGCACCAGGATTGTTGAGTCGTTCTCAGAGGACGGGATGGGGAACCTGAGCTTCAATGAATTTGTTGACATGTTCTCAGTCCTCAGTGAAACGGCACCAAGAGAACTTAAGGCCATTTATGCTTTTAAGATATACGGTAATAACAAAATATAAACACTCGATTTGTTTTGTTATTTTCACTTTTCCTGGAAATAAAACAAAGGTAAAATTTCCCAAATTATGTTTGGTCTTAGATTTTAATGTGGATAATTACCTGTGCAAAGAGGACCTTGAGAAGACTCTAAATAAGCTGACAAAGGAGGAGCTGACTCCTGAGGAGGTTGTGTTGGTGTGTGAGAAAACCATCGATGAAGCCGATTTAGACGGGGATAATAAACTCTCTTATTCTGACTTTGAAAACATGATATCCAGAGCTCCAGATTTTTTAAGGTAATCCTTAAAAGAAAAGTGCTTGAATAATGGACATCATTACAGACTCACATACATCGTACCTTCAGTTAAATTATCTGTAACTGATTTTTGTGTTTTTATTATAAAAATACAGCTACTGTAACTATGCTTGTTCCTCATGTTGTATATTTTCTTCTTCCAGTACCTTTCATATCCGTATCTGAGATGACTGCATGGACATTTTGTAACGTTGGCAACTTGATGAACCTCAGGATTCAACCTGATCCATCCCCTCCCATCAGCAGAGTCCTGGGGTCTCACGTACAAAGATTACTGTGGATTTAAGTTTAAATCGAGAAAACAGCGTACGCACAAATAAATCCTGTTGCATGAATGCAAGCATACTTCCCTTGTACATCGCAATCAACGTCAAATTGAACACACATGACGGAATAGCTGACTTCTCCCTTGACACATCTCTATCGAAATATGTATAATAGATGAAAATGTCCAAAGTTCATGCTCAATAACCCAGGTATATAATTTGTTAATAATGTTCATTCAGGTTCGTCTGGACGGTTTATTTTTTTTTGTGCTGAGACATTTCATCCTTCATCCAAAGGACTTCCTCAATCTGAGAAGCCACCAAACAAAACTGATTCCCCAAAACGGCATACTCCATAGCTGTAAAAAACTGTTTGCTGGTGCTAAAACAGCCTCCGGGGTCCACCCTCTCCATGGCTTTCCCTCTCCCCCGTCAACTCCTCTGAGACAGTCATGCCAAAGTGGTTCAAAACACCAAAGTTCATGCTCAGTAATCCAGGTACAAAATCCAACAATGTTCAGTCAGGTCATCTGGATGGTTTCTTTTTGTTTGTTTTTTTGTGCTGAGATGTTTCATCCCTCATCCAAAAGAAATTCCTCAATCTGAGAAGCCACCAAAGTTTGTGGGAATCAGTTTTGTTTGGTTCCTTCTCAGATTAAGGAAGTCCTTTGGATGAAGGATGAAACGACTCAGCACAAAAAAGAAACTGTCCAGATGACCTGACTGAACACTGTTTGATAGATGCAAATGTGTTTTGCTTGTGGGACTCTCATCTCTGCATGTGAAAAGTTGATGTCTAGATGCAGGAAAATGAAGAATTTAATTGAATGTGAATCAGAGATGCTCCTAAATAAGTATTGCGGTGTAAAAACATATTTGCCACACATGTAAAAAGGTGTGTGTGTTTTGCTGCTGAATAAAGTAAACCGGGGGGGGGGGGGGGGGATCTGCCGATATAGCCTTTCTAAGACATTTCCAACTTTACACACGTTTCATAAATACAAACTGGATTCCAAAAAAGTTGGGACACTAAACAAATTGTGAATAAAAACTGAATGCAATGATGTGGAAATGGCAAATGTCAATATTTTATTCATAATATAACATAGATGACAGATCAAAAGTTTAATATGAGTAAATGTAACATTTTAAAGGAAAAATATGTTGATTCAAAATTTCACAGTGTCAACAAATCCCAAAAAAGTTGGGACAAGTAGCATAAGTGGCTGGAAAAAGGAAATTGAACATATAACGAACAGCTGGAAGACCAATTAACACTAATTAGGTCAATTGACAACATGATTGGGTATAAAAAGAGCTTCTCAGAGTGTCAGTGTCTCTCAGAAGCCAAGATGGTAAGAGGATCACCAATTCTACCATTGTTGTGCAGAAAGATAGTGTAACAATACCAGAATGATGTTACCAAGCGTAAAATAGCAAAGACTTTTAAGTTATCAACATCCACCGTGCATAACATCATCAAAAGATTCAGAGAATCTGGAACAATCGCTGTCCGTAAGGGTCAAGGCTGTAAAACTCTACTGGATGCTCGTGATCTCCGGGCCCTTAAACGTCACTGCACCTCAAACAGGAATGCCACTGTCAAGGAAATAACAGAATGGGCTCAGGAATACTTCCAGAAAGCATTGTCAGTGAACACAATCCACTGTGCCATCCGCCGTTGCCAGCTGAAACTCTACAGTGCAAAGAGGAAGCCATTTCTAAGCAAGCTCCACAAGCTCAGACGTTTGCACAGGGCCAGGGGTCATTTAAAATGGAGTGTGGCAAAATGGAAGACTGTTCTGTCGTCAGATGAGTCACGATTTGAAGTTCTTTATGGAACACTGGGACGCCATGTCATCCAGACCAGAGAGGACAAGGATAGCCCACGTTGTTATCAACGCTCCGTGCAGAAGCCTGCATCACTGATGGTATGGGGCTGCATGAGCACTTGTGGCATGGGCAGCTTGCATGTCTGGAAAGGCACCATTAATGCAGAGAACTATGTTCAGGTTCTAGAACAACATATGCTCCCATCTAGACGTCATCTCTTTCAGGGAAGACCCTGCATTTTTCAACATGATAATGCCAGACCACATTCTGCAGCAATCACAACATCATGGCTACGTAGGAGAAGGATCCGGGTACTGAAATGGCCAGCCTGCAGTCCAGATCTTTCACCTATAGAGAACATTTGGCGCATCATAAAGAGGAAGGTGCGACAAAGAAGGCCCAAGACGATTGAACAGTTAGAGGCCTGTATTAGACATGAATGGGAGAGCATTCCTATTTCTAAACTTGAGAAACCGGTCTCTTCTGTCCCCAGACGTCTGTTGAGTGTTGTAAGAAGAAGGGGGGATGCCACACAGTGGTAAAAATGGACTTGTCCCAACTTTTTTGGGATTTGTTGATGCCATGAAATTTGGAAACAACAGATTTTTCCCTTAAAATGATACATTCTCTCAGTTTAAACTTTTGATCTGTGATTTGTGTTCTATTCTGAATAAAATATTAGATGTTGGCACCTCCACATCATTGCATTCAGTTTCTATTCACAATTTGTTTAGTGTCCCAACTTTTTTGGAATCCGGTTTGTAATTAATAAATAATTTGTAAAGACAGACGGACTCAGGAGCTTGGTAGAACTTAAAAACATTCATTGTTAACGATTGCGGCTAGAGAACATATACCAAGACTGTAATCTGTTACAGTGTTTATGTACAAGGTGGAAAATCATCAACAGTGCAAGGGAGGGAACTGGACCCCTGAAGTGCAAGGAGATGGTTACTGGTCTGTCGGCCGGGGGTGATAATGTTATTACTGCTCTTTCTTACGGTAAAGTTAGGAGTCAGTTGTGGGGAGAGCTGACCCAATGGTTCCAGTGTGTTGGAGTATGGTTCCAGGGCAGTGACAGGCAAATGGTAGGAAGGCATGGATGCAGCTCACAAGGAAATGGCTAGAACAGAACTACAATTGGCAGGTAATGCTCCAGCACCTGCTTAATGTTCTCTGCAGCCTTTTATGCTCCTCCTATTTGTCAAGCTGATGATGCACAGGTGCTGTTGATTGGTGCTCAGATGGCTGCAGGGAGCTGGCAGTGTAGAACTCCCACATTTATCTTCTATGTATATATAACTACTTTGTATATATTTTATGTATCAGGGCATCTTATGTTCCAGAATGTTCCAGAATTGCACCGCTCAAGGTGGCTGCATGTTGGAGTAGTTCTCTTAAATTCATTCTGAGATTTTGCTTTTTAAAACTTTAATTACAAATTTTTCTGGACGTAAATCACTTTTTTTCGGATGATTACTTCCTCTGGTATCAGATGCTGTGCTGCTGGAAGGATTTTTACTGAAACCTTTTTCACATTTGGACATTTGTTTGGGAGAACTGAGATCGTCACCTGGCACCTGCAGTAAAGTCTGCAGCGACAAGGGGCTCGGCAGGCTACTGCAAGAAATGGCCATTGCTTGGGGAGGAGTTCTGCCCGGCATTCAGGCAGTCCTGCTGCCCAAGAGGACAAGAGGTCTGCTGGGTCTGTGTGGACGGATCGGCATCTGCAGCCAGTTTCTTCGGATCTGCTGCGGGACGGACTGCTACAAGAGATCCTTCCTGCCCAAAGCAGTCAGTATCTAGAACAACTCTAATGAAACCGAGATGAGCTACAACAACAATTAATTTCCCTTTGGGATTAATAAAGTATTTTTGAGTTGAATTGAATTGAATACGGATGAAGTCATCCCATACAGCTGGCATGGCACAGCTCAAGGACATCTGAGATACATTTTCAGTATTTGTTCGGTGTGATCTCTGAAAACACTGCCTCCCAGTTGTTCTATTGGTGACATCATCCTGCAGCACCACAGCTGTCATTGTCCCACAGTTACCTACTGTACGCTGTTGTTTATGGACACATACGTGATGGTGTACACATGGGGCTTCTGTAGCTCAGTGGTTAGTGCCGCGGTCTTGTAATCCTGAAGGTTCGAGCCCAGGTTACGTCAAGAAGGGCATCTGACGTGAAACAAATTGCCAAATTTTTCATGCGAGTTTGCTCCCTGTGGTGACCCCTGAAGAAGGAAGCAGCTGAAAGAAAGTTACTTACTATGTGATGATGTATGCCCTTGTTGATCTGAGGAGTCATCGGAGATTAACTGTTCTGAATTAATTTGCTGATCTGACATTGTTTTCTTCTCAGCGATAGTGAAATGCCCTTTACACAGTTCATACACTTTACGCTCCTCTCTGTCTGTGCACCTCACAGGCATACATCTACATGTGACAAAAATATAAGAAAATTTACAGTTTACAATGAAGTGAGGTTGTTTTTTTGATCATTTTAGAGGCGTGTTAGACGTTCTGTTGTTTGAGGATAAATGTGGTTCAGTTTCCTTGTTTGGATTTGAACCATAAATGTCCAAACTCGTGAAAAAAAGTGTTGGGTTTGAATGTCCCTTAAGATCAGAAAATCAAACAGAGTCATATGTTGGTGTTTATGTGAGTTTCAGGACATTGTGGTCTCATACTGTAGACTGAAATAGTTTGCATGGAGGTGAGCACATTCTCACGGTACTTCAGACATGTGCGTGAATGTACAGACACTTTCACGCAACGTTCATTTTGAGACATCCCGACCTGTGCATGGAACCTGGCACACGCAACCATTTTGTGCACATCACGGTTGATACATGAGGCCCCTGATGTCTAACTTAAAAAAAAAGAAGCAATGATTCATTGTAGTTTTTTATTAATGCAAATTTACCAATACAATGTTACTAAACTATAGAAGAAAATAAAGATGATACTGCAGGATCCAGGATATACATAAATTAGTCAACATATGATATTCTTTACATATTTTATGGTTGAAAATGTAATAAAACAAACTGAAATAGACCAAGTTGTTTTATCT